CAGCTGTCATGAGATGGGACCAGGTTGTCGGCACACCCTTCTGGAGGTTACACAGAAGGGGACACTCGCAGATGCCACTGCCCCTCGGAGAGAACTTAATGTGGGAGGCAGGCAGCCCACTTGCCCTTGTCCAGATCGGGGCCCAGCAACCTCATGGGAACTGGCTGGGGGACCCGCTGGGCTTCACAGAGGCAGCAAACATAAATGGGCAGTGTTAGCCCTGAAGCCACATGAGATCAATGGGATTTTCCTCTCTAGTGATTTTTAATAGCAGGAATTTGGATTTGGTGTCAATAGCCTAAAAGCCACAGGAAACTGCCTTGATTCTTTTAAACCTCTTATTTCCCCGACACAGACACCAGCCCAAGTATTTTCTCTGGTATCGTTGTCCCTGACATCGTTGTCTGTTGTGGTTGGCTTTTGAGAAGAGAAATGGAAGCAAACAGAGCAGTCCCTCTGCTTTGTTAAAAATAAATTAAGGCTACTGAGTTCCACTCGGTGCTAGCAGAAGGACGTGGAGCACCATGCAGAAATTCTGTGTTTACATCGAGATGAAGAACTGGGCAGGGCTTTAAGGTTGATCTAATCCAGGCTCCTCATTTTGCAGCAGGGGGATGTGAGGCTCAGAGAGGTCAAGTGAGGTGCCTAAGATCACAGAGTTGAAGGCAAAACTGGGAGCAAAGCCCAGTTAGCCCAGGGACCTCCCTACAGGTTCACGTGGCCTTCAGAATGCCTCATAGGCTAGGTTACGCATGCATGCATGCTCAGTCATTCAACTGTGTCCAACTCTTTGAGATCCCACAGACTCTAGCCTGCCAGGCTCCTCTGTCCGTGGGACTGCCGGGCAAGAATACTGGAGTGGGTGGCCCTCCTCTAGGGGATCTTCTCGACCCAGGGGTCAAACCTGCATCTCCTGCATTGCAGGCAGATTCTTTACCACTGAGCCACAGGGGAAGCCCCACAGGCTAGGTCACTACCGGGCTAAGTAGATGCTTAGGGCCAATTCCCCCAGCAATAGTCACAGCAAACCAGCCAGAACACTCAGGTTACCCAGGACCCCAACTTGCTGCCAGAGAGGCACTGTAGCAGTCGGGGGCATGGCAACCTGGTGGGGTGAGGTTGGCACTGGCAGGCCTGTCGGTAGTAGTGAATGAGACAGGAGGGGAGGGGCAAACCCCACCAGGGGTGTCTGTTTCCAGGGGCTCCAGTAATTCGTAACTATTCCCACTGCAGAGCAGGTGGGTCGCTCCAGGTCCCAGTGAAAAGGGGACCCCACCTCTCCATACCCCCAAAGAAGAATGAACACCTCTTCCTTCCCAACAAATGCTCAAAAAGCCCAGTCTTTCTCAGGAAATCTGGTTCCCAGCGTCGAACGCCCTTGTTGTGTTTGCCACTCTATGTGTAACTGAAGTGCCCTAAGGGAGTGTCAGCAATCATTTTCTATTTAATCCTCATACTCTTTGAGGCTGGAGTCCTGACTGTGTCAGTGTTACCCCTCACTGCTGAGTCGAGAGGCAGAGGCTAAAATGCAGCCATCACACAGAAGGGCTCCTCGGGGTTGCATCAATGCCCGCACAGTAGCGCATTAATGAGTGTTAAAACTGACAGCACAAATACAGCGTTCTTGATTTTTTAAAATTACAACTCTGTAACAAGTCATGCTGTTAAAACATACAAGAAATACTAGTTAAGCCTTCAAGTAGATAACACACAGCCTGTACAGATCATGGCTATCCCAAAGTGCATAACATACCATTTTCTTCGAAGTGAGGCAAGAATTAGCAGGTAGTTCTATTATTTGAACACTAAGACGAGTAGAAATAACAAATCCAAGCGGTAAATGCCAATTACTACCTTAGGAGCTACACATCAGCTCGGCATTACCACATGCCCGTCCTTGGTAACAAAGCCGGGAAATGTAGGGGGTTGACAGAAGACTCTGGACAATAACCAACATGCATCCATGCAGTAAAGACACAGTGTCACTTCCCAGCCAGCGCTTTCAAAATGCTCATCACATACATTTCAAGAAAAGCATGACCTATATCTTTGTCCCGATGGCGTTGAAAAGAATAACCTTCAAGTGCTGGCTGTGAAGCTGTTCTCAAGCCCACGGCTGGACACAGGTGCTCTGAAGCTCCGACTGTGTCCTCCAAAGGGGGTGGATGGGTCAGTCTGGCAGCCTGGTGGCCAAAGCTGTCAGCTCATAATCATATTCTCAACTCCAGAAACAGAACAGAAAATTCACCTGACCCCCATCCCCTTCCCTGCACCGAACAGCTTCAGGGACCCGAAGAAACTGCCCCATCAAATGTTATCTGACCAGGTTAATCAAAGCCCCGCCGAGAGCTCTCGTGAACTACGTACCAGGTACCTCGGTGCTACTTTGTGAGAAAGGAAGGGTTCTTTCTCCCTGGATCAGAGTTCCATCTCCATTCTCTGTGGGAATTAGCTCCAGTGTTCAAGCCAGCTGGGTTGGTCTCTCACCCTCTTATCTGAAACCACTGCTTGGAGTCCTCAGTGCTATTAGGCTATTCTCATGCTCGGAAGTGACTGAAATTCCAGGATGGGCAAAATAATATTTTATAAGAGTATATATATATATATATATATATATGTACAAAAGATATTAAAAAGACAGTCTCTAAAGCACTTTGGGATTCCCCCAATGAAAGGCACCAGATAATGCAAGTCATCACCGAAATGAAAAGTCAAGTTTTCCAGCTTTCACATCAGAAAAGATTAACCACTAGAAGCATCTCTGTTTCAGTGGTAAAAACCTTCCTGTTTAAAAAGAATACTGAGGAGAGTGACTGAGCTATTCAGCCTCCTGCCTTGCTTCCTCTTTTCACAAGTTTTATCTCAGTGACTGTGGATACCATGCTCAGTGACCCAATGCCATCAGCCTTGGCAAACTCAACAGTCTTCACGAGTTTTACCATCACCTGCCTCAGTGCAGCTGGAGATGATTTCACAAATTCTCTGCCTTCCAGTGCCGCAAATATCAGCCAAAGCCAAGTGCTACATGTGCAAATCTGAGAAATAACCCTGTTCTTCTCAGTTGATGGCTCTTTACCCCTAAGGCATCTCACTTTTCCTGATATTCCTGAAAAACAGAGTAGATGGTAGATCAGGTAGCACTAGGAGGTGGCTGCCTCCGTGCTCCCTACGAGGCTCCAGTCTGATGGAAAGATTTGAACTGGGGACCCAAAGGTGTAAGTGACTAGTGCATTCATCCAACAAATGGCCCCCCTCTGTAGTAGCCATGGCAACTACAAGGACACAAAGCCTCTGACAAGATCCTCACTCTATCTGAGGGGTATGTACTACCTTCAACCAACTAAGACACAAATGGACCTTTTTAAGGAAGATCCAAGCCCTTGAGAAAAAGCCTGCCTGACTTCACGTGTGGACCACTGGATTCTGTAGCCTTCCCAAAGAAGAAGAACAACGGAGGCCAACTGGAACACCATCTGATTACCTAGAATATAACAGAGAACTATCCAAGTTAACCCTTCAAAATGCTACATGCTGGTTAACTGAAGAAGAAGGAGGGAAAGCATTTTGGAAAAGGAAAGAGTTCCTAACCTTCAACCCGAGTTTGAAAGTTTAAAGGCCTTTAAAATAGCATCAAGCTTTTCAAGAAGTTTGCAATTATTTATGACATTTAACAATGCTTTTTTGTTTCACAACTCTTTCCTTTCTCCTGGCCTCCACCAACCTTCCCCCCAACAGAAGGCAGATGAAATGGAAATAAGAACTGTAATATTTCCATCCTGGATAAGCCACTTGTCTATATTTTGAGTACACACTTCCATACCACCAGGTGTCCATGTCATACCAGGAACTCTGGGGTGATTAGAGCATTGTGTGTTACATACTGTATCCTAGAAGCAAAATTATCTAAGTAAACTCTGCTTGGAAATAAAAGCTTTATCTAAGCTTTCAGAGTAGGTAACAAAATTTTCTAAGCTACTGCCCTTGCTAGCAGCCCAACAATGTTTGCCTCAGAAAGACAGTACAACAGTGAACTTGTTAGTTGAGAAAGACAACACGATCTTATTTCTAAACACCTTAAAAAAGAAACATATCAGAAACATGCTAATAGCTAAGACACAGCAAAGTTTGGTCAAATGACCTAGACCAGCAACCTCAGCAAGAAATAAAGGTCCCTGCAGCCACCCAGGAAAGAAGGAGGCCTGATTCTGAAAGATCTTCAAGCATCATGCGATTTGGCCTATGTTTAGCTGAAGTCCCTAGCCCTAATGCATCTATTCTTGGGGAAATTTTCAATCTTCACTACATGTTTAACAAAATAACATTCTCTAAAGAGCAACATTTAAGAGGTGAACATGGGTGTACATCATTTGAAAGGGGAGCAGGGTACCCATGCAAGTCACAAGGCTACAGGTCATTGACAAAAACAACTCATAGACTTGAATCAGTCATGTCTACTTAACTTCACATTCTCTTTGCTTGATATTAAAACTAAATGAAAGCAATGGATAAAGAATTGAGATTTTGTTTTCACCTGACTGTGAGCAAAACCTCATCCTATCCTTGCAGGCCCCACAGGTGTGTTTCCACGGGATGTTATTTGTGGGGGCTTTTTGTACGGAACTCACGTGACAACCTCAGAAACAGGAGCACAATCAGAGACAGTCCTGGGCCATGAGCACTAGACAAGAGAGCACAATGAACAGAGAGATTAGCATCCGAGGTGGTACTCATCCGGCAGAAAGGTGAACATTTTATGCCCACGATGCGAAGACCAGTGAGTGTCATTTCACTGAAAGGTGTGAAGGCATGGCGTCAGACACACCAGCCTCGAAAAATGACCCTAAATACTGGAAAAGCAGCCTGAGGTGCAGATCCCATGCATTCTCTCCCCTCTGGGGCTGGGCATACTCCTCACGCCATAACCCTAGGGTACCTGGACCGTGCCAGAGGCACAAGAGACAGCTCAGCAATGTGTGTTTGAGGATGTCAAGCCCTCCCAGCTAATGTAGGGAATCATTTAAACTAAGTTCGCTTGGCGAGCTCCTGCTCATGTTCGTCAGGCTCGCCATGAGGGATTTAACTTTATGGGCATAATAGTCCCTTAAATTGACAGAAGGGACCTCCTTCATTCCATCTCCGAAGTCACAGCTGCGCATGGCGCTCTCAAGTTGCTTTTGGCGCCGATAAAAGTGGGAGAATTTATTGAAGATCAAGGTGATGGGCAGTACCACCACCAGGATACCTGCCAGGATGCAGGCAGAGGCGGTCAGCTTCCCTGCCGTGGTCCCCGGGACCACATCCCCGTACCCTACGGTGGTCATACTGACGGTGGCCCACCACCAGCAGGCGGGGATGGTGGCCAGGCCCTCGTTCTCCTCCTTTTCGATGGTATAGGCCACTACGGAGAAGATGGAAATCCCCACCGAGAGGTAGAGCATAAGCAGCCCCACCTCCTTGTAGCTGTACTTCAGGGTGGCCCCCAGGGAGCGGAGGCCAGTGGAGTGTCTGGCCAGCTTTAAGATGCGGAAAATCCGCATCAGCCTTAGGACCTGGGCCACCCTGCCCAAGTTGGCCAAGGTAGGTGTGCTCTCCACAACCAGGTTCACCACCAGCGTGATGTAGAAGGGGACGATGGACATGAGGTCGATCAGGTTTAGGGCATTCTTGAAGAACTTGAGGAAGTCGGGGGCCACAGCAAACCTGGCTACCAGCTCAAGGGTGAACCAGGCGATGCCGAAGTGCTCCACGATTTCGAACCTGGGGTCCTCGCCGGGGTTGCCCTGGCGGTCAGGGATCTGGAAGTCTGGCAGGCTATTGAGACACATGGTGATGATGGACCCCAGCACCACGAGGATGGACAGGACGCTGAAGACCCTGCTCAGGACCGAGTAGCCGGGGTTGTCCAGCGCCAGCCACAGCTGTCTGCGGAAGTTGCCCAGAGGCTGCCCGTCGAACTTGGAGGCGTCGTTGTAGAAGGCCAGGATCTCGTCGAAGGAGGACGTGGTGCTCTCCTGGTCGCTCTGCTCGTCCCATTTCTCCTGCTCGGGCTCCACTTTGCGGCCGTGGTAGCTGTAGCTGCAGCAGGAGTCGATGAAGAACTCGTTGATGCCCCAGTACTCAATCTCCTGGCTGAAGGAGAAGACGCAGAGCTCCGCCATGACGTGCAGCTTGCCAGTGTGGTAGAAGTGCAGCACGTAGGGGAAGAGCTCCGGGTTGCGGTCGAAGTAGAACTCGCGCTGGGCATCGTCGTAGTCGTCGCAGAGCTCCAGGATGGCCTCGCGCGAGTGGCACAGCAGCAGGCGGCCCAGGCGCGTCTCGGGGAAGCGCAGCAGCGTGTGCGAGCGCAACCGCTTCTTGAAGCCGCCCACGTTGATGCGGATCTCTCCATCCTCGACGTTGGCCTCCGACACATCCCACAGGCTCTGGCCGGTCATGCTGGAGACGCCCGGCCGCCCGCGCCGCGCGGGGGCGCTACACCTGGAAGCCAAAGGAAGCGCGTCGGGTGAGCGCCCGGCGCTCAGGGCTCGGGCACCCCTTCCTTTCTCCCCATCAGTCTCTAGAGCGCCCAGTCCTCTCCAGCGGGTCTCTGAGTACTGAAGGACACTGGGGTGGGAGGACCGTGCTCTGGGCTTTACCTCCCCACCCCCCTCTTCCCAAAGAAAGGGTTGGAGTTGGGGAGGGTAGGTTATGTTTCTACTAGCATGGCCGCGCCCGCACCCCCATCCTGGGGGTTCTGTCGGTCGCTTTCCGCTGCCTGGGGTCGCACCCCAGCGGCTCCGCCAGCTGCGAGCTGACCTTGCCCGTGGGCGGGCCGAGGAGACGCCCCCGCCCTCTCGCCGCAGACAGGCGGGACCAGAGCTGGGCTGCGTACCGGCAGGGCTGGGCCGAGATAGGGGGGCGCATAGCTTCGGGAGGGGGAGCGGGGAAATCCACCTCTCTAGTCCTTAACCCCCGGACAGGGTAAGGGGGCCGGCCCGGCGTCCCCGGAGACCAGCCCCCCGAGACTGAGGCCCCCCTCGTCCTCCGCCCTGGGCTTCCCACCCCCCACCCCCTCCCGCCTGGCTCCGTGCCCCGGAGCCGCGTGCGCCGCGCCTTACCCGGCGGAGCTACCCGGGCTCGCCCTGCGCGTTCTGGAAGCGCTTACCTGCGAGCTCTGGAGCCCGCGGCCGAGGCCGGCGGGAAACTTCCCCGACCTGCCGGCGAGCATCGCTGCGGCCGCCGCTGCCGGCTGGCTGTGCGTGTGCGCGAGGGTGTTCTGAGTGTGTGTGCGCCTGTGTGTGCGCCCGGCGGGCGGGCGGGGTCCGCCGAGCGCCTCCTGTCTCCGGCCGGGGAGGCCGCCGCCGTCCGCAGTTGCGGGAGGCTCACAGGTGGCTGCGTGGCCCCGACGCTCTCAGAGCCCCCCCCCCCCGCCCTTTCGATCCGCACGCCCCTCGGCACCGAGGAGAGACAACGACGCGCGCCGCAGCCCGAGGGATCTGGAGCGGGAGCCGAGTCCGTGCGCCTCTGCGCGGGCCCTGCTCTGGGGCGCGGCGCGGTGGTGCTGAACGGACAGCTCCGCGCCTCCCAGCTCCGCGCGAGGCCGCCGCCCGGACTCGGGAAAGGCTGCCGCCTCTGCGTTGCGGAGACCCCTTCGCGCCCGCGGCTCGAGGCCGAGCCAACACCTTTCCCGATCACTCACCTACCTCCCCTGATGACAAGCTGTTATGACCACCCTCTTGCTCCCAGGGCGGAGGCAGGGGGCTGCCTACGGTGACCCTTCCCTACCTGAATCTCTCGGGCGGAGCCGAGCTGGGGAATGACCGGCGACTTGCGTTAGTCCGGGGGGGAAGGGCGGGACGCCGGGAACTCCAGGTTTCCCCCTTTTAGGGGCCTGCTGAAAAGTTTCCTGAGGCTGCGGGGGAAGCGGGGTGGTGAGGAAAGGTGTTGGAGGGGAGGGGGGAGAAGCGGGGGGGGGGGGGGCCGTGGCAGGGAAACCCAAGGTCGAGCTCAGCCTAGCTTGCTGGGGCCCGGAGCGCAGGCCCTACCGGCGTGGGAGGGAGTCACGGAGTTCTGTTTGGGAGCTCTGTGTGGGCACTGTGTGTGTGCAGGCCGGGGTGGTGTGCCAGCTTCGGAAGATGGCTGGGAACTGTGTGTGTCTGTGTGTGTAGACTGAGGAAAGTGGGGCTTTTCAGGGTCTGTGCAGCGCTAATTAAAAATAGGACCTCTGGGGTGGTGAGGGGAATGTGTACGGCGTGTCAGAACAGGGGGACCTGGAGCCTGTCATTGTGCTGTGTGTACACCGCGGCAGGCTGTGAGCTGTATGCACGGCAGGCTGTATACAGAGTAGTATTCAGTGGGACTGTGGCCGGGTCTGTGTGCCAAATGAAATGAGACCCGCATGTATGTGGACTCCGTGGGGACCTGGGGGATGGATCCAGCATAGCTGTGCTCAGTACCCATGTCTGCATTCCCCAGGAGACCTGTGGCCTCGATTTGAGCTCTTGGTCTCCTACAATTGTTCCTCAAAGCACTGCCGCTGGGTTAGAGCTGAGAAATGGACCCACAGTCCCTGGGGAGCCCTCTCCCCTTGGTCTCAGCCCCTTGCGTGGTCCCCATTCGACAAGATGGGAAGCACAACGTGAGCTTAGTCAGGAGCTGGTGGGCTCCCGGTCCCAGGAAAGCCCTCTGTGGCTTTGGACTCCCAGAGCAGCCACCCCAGCCACTGCGGGCAGCATATATTTTAGTTACAACACCCAGGTAATGCCACCTCAGCTAGACAGGTGCTCTGCAGAGCTTGAGTGCTCTGGGACTCCTTGGAGGGCCTGGGGAGGACCCTCGAGATGGTTTTGTATGGACTTTCCTGGAACCAAGCCTGGTTTTATATAAGGTTGCCCTGTCCCTGGAGAAGGCAATGGCAACCCACTCCAGTTCTCTTGCCTGGAACATCCCATGGACGGAGGAGCCTGGTGGGCTGCGGTCCATGGGGTTGCTGAGAGTCGGACATGACTAAGCGACTTCACTTTCCCTTTTCACTTTCATGCATTGGAGAAGGAAATGGCAACCCACTCCAGTGTTCTTGCCTGGAGAATCCCAGGGACGGGGGAGCCTGGTGGGATGCCGTCTATGGGGTCGCACAGAGTCAGACACGACTGAAGCGACTTAGCAGCAGCAGCAGCAGCCCTGTCGCTGTGCTCGCCACCTGCCTCTGGGTGTGGGGGAGGGGGGTTGTATGTGCAAGTGTGTTACCTGCACCAGGGCTCCACACTCATGTTCCTACAGGCTTCTGCAGGCACGGGGATCCTGAGGAAGCAGGTGGGAGGGAGAATAGTGTGGAAAAGGCTACATGAGCTTCCTTTCTCTTTTGTCTGAAGTTTTTAGAGAGGGAGGTGTGTGTGTGAGAGAGAGAGAGAGAGACAGACTAGACAGAGATGGAGAAAGAGACACACACAAAGAGAGGGCGAGGGAGAATCTGGGACCTGCTGTCTTTGTCTCCGTCTCTCTTTCTTTTGGGTCAGTGGTCTTGGGTCTTTCTTTTAGGTCTTCTGTCTTGGTCTGCTGGACCTATCACTGGAAGTCTGCGGCTCTCCCCGCACCTGGCCAACCCGCCGTCTGGGGGCCCCTGGGTCTCTTTTATCTCCGTAGGAGTGCTGCTGAGAGTGCGCCAACCCTTGCCGAGGGTGTGTTTGTGTAAATGCATGCATGATCAGTGTGTTGGCGCCGTGTTTCCACCCCCTCCCTCACCTTGAGTTGGTGGCAGCTGTGAGACCCCCCCTTCTGCAGGCGCCCTTAGCAGCAGTGCCTGTGACTCTCTCTGCCCTTCTGCCCATCCCCTCACTGTGCCCTGCCTGGCTCCGGGCTGCCCGGAAGCTCACAGCCTTGCTTCTGCTTCACCACCACGTGTCTGCGTGGCTTCTGCAGCATGGCCTCTGCTCCCGGCCACTCCCGTGGCCTTGGCCTTGCCCATGACTCTTCTAGTTGAACTTAAAGCATAAATCACCTTTTCCATCTGGAGGGTCCCTCTCCCCCGGAAGCTCTTGGGTTTGATGCCTATGTGGCTGTCCTCCCTCCCCTGCTCTATTTATTTGCCTGCCTCCTTCTGTTCCTGTCTGCTTTTGTTCTTGCTCATTCCTTCTTCCTTTGTGGTCGTGGGAGATTTCACCCATGGAGAGAGAGCTCCCCCCGCCCCCTCCCGCCTTCTGGTTCTCTTTGTTTCTCCCACACCCACGGCCACCCACATGCCTGCAGACACCAGGGCTCTGCCAGGGCCCCGGAGTGCCCACCATCTCCACGATGGGGTCCACAAGCCTCTTTTCTGCCTCTGCTCTGGCCAGCCTCCCTCTGCCCCCTTCTTAGTATCTTCCCTCCCTCTCTCCCTCTCCCTGGTCTCCTTCAGCAGCTGACCGAGACAGGCCCCCGCCCCTCAGGGGCCCCGTGTCCATTCCTGCCCTTTGTCAGCCTTTCCTGGGATCAAGGACGAGGCCCCACGCCCGCCCGCCCGTGAACTTGGTGCCCCAAGGAGAAGCCGGGGTCTGGGGCACATCAGTTATTTCTTGCGAAGGCCGCGGCAGAGGCTCTGGGTCTGACAGCCGCCTTTGCAGAGGGCTAAGTGTGTGTGACAGGCAGAGCCACTGGTTTATTTCCCAGTCGCTGCACTGAAGAGAAATGGAGTCATCTCCCTCCTTCTGTGCCTGGGAAGCTGGCTGTGTTTATGGTTTATTTAGAGGTCTGAGCCCCGATCTTAAAATATGGCTGCCTGCTCCAGGCACCCACAAGGCCTGCCCCTGGGCTGGCCTGCTCGGGGGATCCTGGAGAGGTGGCAGGATGGGGGAAGGCATCCCAGGAAAGGGACAGAGGGGGCCCCAGGCAGCGGCCCAGATCCCCTGCACCTGGGCGATTGTTATCTCTGTCTCCTCTGCCAACACTGATCTCTCAGTGGAGCCCACACATCTCAGAGTTGGCTTCTTTCTCTGACAGGCAAGGGGGCTGCCCTGGCAGCTTGGCTGAGGGAGCTGGGCTGCCTGACCTACATTCCCCCATGTGGAGGAGCCGAGCGCACCCCCGCCTCGCCGGAGTGGACTGTTCACGGGCCTCCATCCTGCTTCCCACCAGCCACCCTTCCCATCCCAGCCAGAATGTCTCTTAGAAACGCAAATCAGGTCCTGCCAATCCCTCCTGAAAACCTCCCAGGAGCTTCCCATGGAACTGAGCATAAGAGGCATGCCCTTCCTGAGTTGCAAGATCCCCCAGGATGTACCCCCTGCCCGGCAGACTTCAGCGCTTGGCTTCTTCTACATCAAGGATGCCCCCAGCCCCGGGCCCCTTGGCTGCTTCCACAGGGCCTTTGCACCTGCCGTTCCCGCTGCTCGCCCCAGCACCTTCACAGGGCAGGTGCCTTCTTGTCACTCGGGTCTCGATTTCCATGTCACCTCCTCGGAGAAACCTGGCTGCCCCATCT